GGATGCTCCTTCTGATGGTAGTTGATCCCTTTGGCTGATGAGTATGAACCCCCATCTGGTTTGACGAGTATGAACCCCCGCCTGGTAAGCCCCATTTTGTAAGGCCTGATGAGTATACACCCCCATCTGGTGTCTGACGAGTATGAACCCCCGTCCGGTAAGCCCCCTTTTGTAAGGCTTGATGAGTATACACCCCCATCTGGTGTTGTGCCTCCGGATGCTCCTTCTGGTGGTAGCCGATCCTTTGGCTGTGGTGGCGGCTTACTGCTCTAGCTCATGCGCCGAGTGTTGAGATGTGTTCTCTTGTATTTGTCTTTTTGAGAGTGGTCGTCCGGTCTGTGCCGGGGATTCCGTTGGTGTTCATCCAGCTTGTTGGTTGCTGGGGATTTTTTATTTTTGATTTTTGATTTTTTGGTGGTGGTCATCCGACTTTGCTGGTTGTCGGGTAGTCTCGTTTGTTGTTCGACTCTTGCTTGGTCGTCGAAAAATTGTTGGTCAAGGTGATTAACTTGTTTTAATCCTACCTTTTTTTCGCGGTTTTATCTCTTTTTTCTCGCGATTTTGGATTTTGGCTTTTTTTTTAGCGTACGTCTTTTTACTCTTAGTTTCTTTTTTGTTACGCTGACTCTTTCTGAAAGGGAGAGCAAAATGCACGAAATGCAATTTTTATTTATGATAAAAGTTTATTACAGCAATTTTATTTTCTAAGCCCTATCTCTGAGGCAGAGAACTCGTGTCTGGAGACGATCCATAAGAGGGGAACTGCCGGTACATATGTCTTCGGAACTCTGCCTGGTCCCAGGCTTCGTCGAGGTACTCCTGCCAGAATTCCGCCAGGTCTTGCATTATTCCCTCTTGATATTGGCCAAATGTCTCCAACCGCGTGTCAAAGGCCTCCTGCCTTAGAGACATTTGCTCTTGTCTCATAGACATCTGGTCGAATTGCTGGCGCAAATCGTAGATGTTGCGGTTGATGCCAGCAAAATCGTCTGTGTACTGCTGCTGTTGTTGTTGTTGTTGCTGCTGTTGTTGGAACTCGAGAGGTGTCGGGAGATCGTGCATTGCTACGAGATCCCGGAGATCCAAAGTGATATCCAGTGAGGGGTGGAGGATCAACCGGGTCCCTTGGCGCAGTAGCATCCCCATGCTAACTAGGACCGACCCGTTGATAGTCTCGGGTCGGAGGCCAGTTCCTCCCTGCCACTGCACCCTCATTTCTCTGCCAGGGGGGTAATGAGGGGAGCCATGAGGACGGCTCCCACGGGACGGCTCCCGAAGACCTTGAGGGCCTTCAGGAAGAAATAGTCAGGGTTGCACCGGCGCCTCTGGCTCATGCAATAAAAGACAAAGAGGTCCGAAAGGGTTACCTTTTCCTGACTCTCTTTCCGCCCGTGGATAGTCCCAGCCAACAGCTTGTGGCAGATGCGGAGGGCTGGGGGAAGTGCAGAGCCCTTCATCAGTGTGGGCAAAGTGTGCGCCCCGGTGAGCTCTTCGCACATCTCGCCGGCAGTGAGGTTGGTGGGGCGCGCACAGATAGCCTCCTGGTAGTCCCGAGTTAGCACGTCCTCGGGCTGGACGAACCCAATGGTCACATTGAATTCGTCCAGGGTGGTGGTCCGGTACATCCCACCCATGAAGTATGTCACCATTTTTGTCGGTGATAGACCTGGTACCATGGCGGTCGTCTCGGCGTAGGAGATGGAGGTGAGGAACTCTTGCACCGCTTGGGGGTAGACGTGGGTAGGTGGAGGCTGAAGGAGGAAGCCCCACCCTATGCTGTCGATGTGGGCCCGAACGTCTTCTTCCCATCCGAATTCGACGAGGATGCCAAAATCCAACCTTAGCATGGGGTGCCATGTATACCCCCGGATGTGCTCTAAGCGGGTCTGGTGCAGTGGTGAAAGTTGTGTGGGGTCCTGCGGAGTGGGAGCTGAGGAGCTGCTAGGGCCGACAGAGCCTCTTCTCTTCCTAGACTGATCTCCACGGTGCATCTTGACGGTAGGGTGCTTGAGAGTGAGAGAATGGAGAGTGGGAGTGCAAGAGGAGGTGTGGAGACCCCCCTAGGCCCCCCTCTATTTATAGAAATTTTTTCAGATTCGGGACCGCCGTCTGGGAAGTCGAGACGGTGGTCTCGATTTCATGCTAGTCGAGACGGCCGTCTGGAACCTCGAGATGGTGGTCTCGACTTTGACCTTAAGCGAGACGGCCGTCTCACCAAGCGAGAAGGCGGTCTCATTTTACTGAAGATCGAGATGACGGTCTGGAAATGCGAGACGACCGTCTCGATTCTGAGAGATTTTTATTTTGGAAGAAAATAGGACTTGGTTCAAAAACATTTTGTGCATGCAATATTTTCATGTTTGATGTCCTATAATTCCTATTTCAATTAGTTTTTCAGAAGGATTTATTTAACATGTCTTGTAGCGACGAGTGCCCTCTGATCTGCGTTCTCATATTTGGCTGTACCATTTCGAACTTCTTGTGACCGAAGAATAATTTGCTTTTTTTTTCTTTTTTGTAGAGCACACTTTGCCATGTTAGTGTCCCTTTTTCTTCACTTTAGGGGTTTCAATCCTCTTGTTGACTATAAGCCTCCATATTCCCAAATTAATTGTTAGAATAATGTTTGTGAGGGTCAAGAGAAAAGAAGTATGAGGGCAAATTCAATGGCTTGTGTTTTAGAAGGTTAATTTTTATTTAGAAAAAGGTTTTTTGTAAGAATGGTTGGCTAGGGTTAGGCCTGGGTGTTTAAGATTTTGTCTAAGCAAACGTTTCCCTTTTTTTGTACTTGCGCTTTAGTTTATTTTCATTGCTTTTTATGGCTAGTTGATCTCCCTAGATCGCCCTTTCAAACTAGGACATTGTGTTTTGGCCCTATCTTTTGTCTAGGTTCCTTCTTTTTGTATTTGTTTAGGGAATCCTAGCGGACCTTATCTTGTAACCCTAACTTTTGCCTAGGCTACCCTTTATTTTTGTTCGGGTATCCTACCGGGTTGACCTTATCTTTTGCATAGCCTCCTTAGTGGGTTTCCTACCGGGTATTTTGCCTTTTTTTCTTTTTGGCCTTTGGCTTCTATGGGCTTTTTCTTTTTTGTTATTTTTTCACAATATTGGCGAAACATGACTTTCTTTATGGTGAGATAAAGTCTTATTTTGTGCTTCTAATCAACTAGCTTGACTGTAATGGCAATGACACGTTTTGTTTACTTGGATGCGCTTTTTATTCTTCTTTTTCTTTTTGTTTACTTAGACAAGGTTATTGTGAGGTCTAGTCATGAAATAGTAAGAAGAGAAGCAGATAGTAAGAAGTGTATTCTTTATTAATTAATAAGGGAATATGTGCCCTAAAATGCCCGGGGGTCGGGCTAGCCCCGGGGGATAATCTCTAACAATCATGGGGTTTACATCCCTTAAATGAAGAAAAAGATCTCCTAATGACTAGGGTAGCTCTTGACGCTTGCATCCCTCTGCTTCGGAATATCTGCTTGAGTGTGCGGAGGGGAGACTTCCCTTTTCTTCCTTTTGTCCGGCCCTTAGTAGGGTCATATCCTAGGCCATACTTGAAAGGACTATCTTTGAATTTTGGGGGTTCCCTTATGCCTTGGGAATCTGCCCCCAGTCCTTGGCCAGGATGGTAACCATGCTTCATCAACATGCGGGCTACCTTTGTGTTTTTGGGAAGTCGCTCTACGTTGGAAATTTTGAGCACTTGAAAAGATGTTTCAAGGGCTTCTTCGGCCGTATCCACATAAGGTTGGGTGGACGGTCCACTGATCAGGATATCATCTTCTACTTGGACCGTGACCAATTTGTCATCCACTATGAACTTGACTTTCTAGTGGAGCGTTGAAGGTACTGCCTTAGCATCATGAATCCAAGGCCTGCCGAGGAGACAACTATATGCTGGAGTAATGTCCATTACATGGAAATCGACGTTGAAGATAGTGGGCCCAACTTGGATTGGCAAATTAACTTCTTCCACTACTTCTCGTTATGATCCGTCGAAGGCTCGAACGATAGTGCTGCTTGGGCGCAGACGGGTTCCTTGGATAGTCAACTTGTCAAGTGTGCACTTGGGCATCACGTTCAAGGATGATCCGTTATCCACAAGAATTTTGGCAATGAGGTACTCCTTGCACTTGATGGAAATGTGCAAGGGCTTGTTGTGGTTTGATCCCTCGAGGGGGAGTTCTTCCTCTACGAAGGTGAGGTGATCGCTTGCCATAATGTGATCGACGATCCACTCAACCTTTTCTTGGGATATGGTTTGAGGTACATGCGCTTTGCTCAAGACCTTCATCAAGGCATTTCTGTGCGGTTCCGAGCTCATCATTAGAGATAATAGAGTTATCTTTGCAGGTGTATGATTGAGCTGGTCAATAATGGAATACTCGCTTTGCCTTATAAACTGGAGTAATTCCTCTGTCTCTTCCTTGGATTCTTTATTTTCTTTTTCTTCGGTCTTTTTATTTTTTCCTTTATTCTTGGGGATATCTTCTTGTGAGTCCTTGGGGGAGTAGATTCTTCCACTTCTAGTCATGCCCCCAATGCCGGCTATGTTCGAGATATCCTCCTTTATTTGTGAAGATTCCCCGTATTTCCATGGTACAACTTTATTTGACTCGTAAGGGAAAGGACGTGGCATAAATAGTCGCACTGGTGTCCTTGCCCCCTCTTCCTTATTTGTGAGGATCAATGGTTGAGGCTTATTATCCTCTTGTGGTGAATCAACCGTTTGGGCAAACTTGATTAGGAGTGGCTTTCTCTCCATTCTTCTGATTTGGAAGACGTGTCAGTTAATCCTTCCTTTTTATTATCTTATTTATTAAGAGTGAAGGAGGGGAAATTAAATATGCAAATGAATGATATGCATGCAAGTAGACAATTGTTGAATAAAGAAAAATTTCATTTATCCGTAGAAGGTGTACATTCCCCTATTCCATACTACGAAGCAACTTTTGATAGAAACTGAAAAGCCTAAAGAAATCCACAGGCGGGTCTTAATCTCTATGTAATTCCCTCTCGGCTTTCCGGACGTGACGAGCGAGTACTTCGCTTTGCTTTTGGACCGCCTGGCTCATATCTTCACTGTACTTTTGAGCCTCTTTGATCTTCGTCTCTTGATGGACGACCAAGGCTTGTAGTTCATCGAGTTTTGCAAGGGCTCGGTTCTTTTTTTATAGTACTTGGCCGTACTGAGCTAGCCCATCTCTTTCTTTGCAGCGTAGCTCAACGAGACTTTTGTTGAGTCTCCGATTGGCCTCTCGCTCTTGGTGTATTTCTGACCGAGTCTTGGTGAGGTCTTGCAACAAGTCCTTGATCGTCTGAGCCTATTTTCTAATTCGGCTTCAAGGCGTGTTGATTTGGCGGTTATTTCTTGAAGTTGGCTATCCGAGCTGGTTCTAGCAGCCTTGGATGCTCGGATAGCTTGCTCATTAGAGTCAGCACATTGATCCTTGAGGCGCTCTATTTCATGATCATTTTTTCTTGCATTGCCTTTGCAGACCATCAATGGTGAGGATAGATTCTTGTTCTCTTTCCTCAAGGGCCCTCATCTGGGCTCCCATGATTTCTATCCTCTGGGTCAAGGCATCGACTTGAGCTTGCAACTCTTCACTATTGGCGCTTGTAAGGAGTGAGGTGGATGGTTGAGACATCCCTCTTCTTTTTCTCCACACCTCATAGTCACTGGAGACAGCCACTCGAGCTTTTCCTAGCTCTCTATCTCCCATAAAGACTGGTTTCTCCCATGCTTTTCTCACGGCTAGTGACTTGGCAATTGTGCATGGGTCTCTGAAGAAACACAGTCCTCCGAGTTCCCCTTGAGAAATTGTAGTTTGAGTCCTCATGAGTTGTCTCATAGCTACTCTAGGTGAATAGGCTATGCAACCCCTGAGTCCTATCAAGGGTATGTTCGGATAATCTCCATATTTGATGAGGACTGGACCGGGTCGGAACCAAGGGCAGACCCAGGATAAATGGTTGGCGTCCCATTGTTCCAACTCGTCCTTCCATTCTGAGGGTAAGCGTCGTTGGAGAGGGATTTTGGAGAAGCTCCTCAAAGGGTCGGGGAACATCCCCATGTGACTAGAGGCGTAAAAATGTGTGATGCCCCACACAAAGAGTAGTGAAGAGCAACAAAGAAGTGTTCTTCCTTGCTTCTGGCGGCAGAATTCCACCGAGAGCAAGGTGTCAGCAAGAATTGTAGGCAAGGGACTCTTCGAGTTCACGTCCCAGGCGAAGAAGGCGTCCATGACGGCTTGATCCACTGTGTCGAGGTGGAAGGGAAACAAGATCATTCCAAATATGATTAAGGCCAGGGTTTTGTTAAAAGCAACCCATTCTGCCCTTTCAGCCAAGTCGGATAGATGGTCTTCTAACATTGAGACTTTCCAACCCTGGATGTTCCCTTTTTCTATCAGGGTAGTCTACCGGAATGACAATCGGATGATGGCAGCGACTTGTGCTGCAGGAGTATATGCCCCGTGGCGGATATGGACCCCAGCTAATTTGGGTCATTTGAGCATGATCTCGTACTCCTCCAAAGTGGGCACCATATCGAACTGTAGAAATTTGAAGCAGCGCAGACTAAAGTTCCAGAAGTGAACTAGTACCCTGATGAAAACTTGATCGACACAGATCTTCAGCAGGTCGAGAATCTGTCCATAAGATTTTTCAAAGTCGGAGCGGACCTCTGGTGGCATTATTGCGCAAAGCCGTTCCAACTACTTAGTATGGTACCGGGGAATGTCCACTTTCTTCAACTGTCTACTAGTCCCCTCCATTTTCTAAAACCAAAATGCATGTTTTATGAATATGATACTTATTGAATGAATGTGAGTGTTTATTTTTCTATTTATCATGTTTTATTTCTACATGATGTATGGTATTTGCGTATATATATTTTTTTTGGAAAAAATAGACTATCTATATGAATGATTTATGAGTATAATGTTTATAAACAAGGTCCCATTTATTGTTTTAAATTGGATTTTTGTTATTATTTTATTTTATAGCCTTTTATCTCTTCTGTCAGACTGCGTGGCTACTTAGCTTACAAAGAACCTGAAACCAGGCTAGCTAAAAGGCAGACTGTCCGAGATAAAAAAATGGCTTTATGTGAAAGAATAATATTTAGCGTCCCTTATCTCTTTTGTCGGACTGCGTGGCTACTTAACTTACAAAGAACCTGAAAACAGGCTAGCTAAAAGGTAGACTGTTCGAGATAAGGGTGTTTATTGCAAAAAATATTTTTTGTGATTTTTCTGTTGTTTGGTTATGCTATGCAACAAACAAATGCGCACACAATTCAATCATCCGCGAACAGGCGAGAAGTCATTTTAATCACGAGGTAGGGTTTTCCTGCAGAAAAGTGCATTGGCGAAGGTAGGTTCTAACTGTTCTCACCAAGGCTAAGGCCCCCAAGGTGCCCCCATTATAGGGTCCCCACTCTCCTGCCTTCCGACCATGCTTAGCACTAAGGCCATAGTCAGTCTTTGTGCCAAAAGAGGAAGGTTATCACCTTGAGTGGTGGTTTCCGATCACACTGGTGGGCACAAGGCCATCACTACAGCGAACCGTACCTGCCACCCACTCCCTATGGATTTCTCACTTGCCCCCGGGTATAGAGGGAACTGTTGTGTGCAAGGGTTTGTGTACAGTTTGTATTTCAAATAATTGCGTAAGTATAAACAAACAACAGTTATTAAAGCCAAACATTAAAACATGTTATAATACAAGGTAGGGTAAAAGTGTAATTTCTTGGTTTATTTATTTAAGATGGCCCATCACTAAATGGGATCAACTCTCTAGGCTTCCCCAGTGGAGACGCCATCTGTCGTCGCCGTCAAAACGAGGCGGTCGGAGCGACGCGATGGTTCCGACTTTTTGATTTTCGCATTTTTATAGGTGTGGTTACAACGCCTTTAGGTTGTCCAATAACCGGGCTGAACCTAGAGGCGAGGTTTTCGAAAGGGCGTTCTTGGATTTTCTGATAACCGGGCTAACCCAAGAACTAATTTTGAAGGGTTCTTATGGAGTCGCCACGATGTTTTTACCGGAAACATCGAAAAAGGAGTAAAAAGGCGTTAATTTTCGAAAACTAACTTTGGTCGTTAAAACCAGAGTTTAGGTAAGGGAGTTAGTTACGTGTAAGGGAAGTGTTAGTTCCCTTACGACGCCCCTTTCGGGTTCCCTATGATAGACCAACTATTTTAATAAATAAACTTGTGAAAAGACGCTTTTACCCTTTTATTTGCAGAATTAAAATAATGACTACATGTCCCTAATATCTATTACGCAATTTAAATATAAAAGTAAGACAATAAAGAGAGGGAGAGAAAGAAGAAACCTCCGAAGCAAGCTCTTTGATTAATTTCTTGAAAACTAGGGTGCGTTTTGGCAGCCCTTTACTCTTTACAACGCCGGAAAAACTCTCGGAAACGCTATAAAAACTCTAAAGAAACTCTCGGAAACTCCGAAAAATGCTTTGGAGGGGTTCTAAGAAGAGAATTTGAAGAAGTTGCAAGAGAGAGAATGGAAGAACTATGTGAAATGAGGGTGAAGGCGCGACTATTTATAGGGATTCGTGCCTGTCAGATCGAGACGGCCGTCTCGTCTGACAAGGTCGAGACGGCCGTCTCGCCTTGCAAAAATAGCGAGAAGGCCATCTCGCCAACCGGGAGGGGGGTCTCGCCATTCGCAAGTGGCAAGACGGCCGTCTCGCCAAATGAGACGGCGGTCTCGACTTGTAGAAGTGGCGAGACGACGGTCTCGACCCTAAAAGGCAAAAATCCTTATTTTCATGCAGAAAAACCCTCCTATCCTAGTATGGGGCCTAATAGTCTCTCCTAATGGCTTCTTAAGCTTCATCCATCTTCGAAAAGGAGGTCTTTTGGTCTTTATTATGAGACCGGGCAAGATTTGGGGTCTACAGAGAGAAAACCGCTTTTAATCAAGCTCTCCCCAACGGTCGATCCACCATAAGAGGATAATAAGTATCGGTCGTTGGTTCTCAAAATCAATAAGGAAGAGGGGGCAAGGACGCCCATGCGACTATTTGTGCTTCGTCCTTTCCCCTATGAATCAAATAAAGTTGTACCGTGGAGATATGGGGAATCTTCACCAATAAAGGAGGATATCTCCAATATAGCTGGCATTGGGGGCATGACCAGAAGTGGAAGGATCTATTCTCCCAAGGAGTTACAAGAAGATGCCCCCAAGAATAAAGGGAAAAATAAACAGACTGAAGAAAGAGAAAATAAAGAATCGAAGGAGGAGACCAACGAATTACTCCAGTTCATAAGGCAAAGCGAGTATTCCATTATTGACCAGCTCAATCATACACCTGCAAAGATAACTCTATTATCTCTAATGATGAGCTCGGAACCGCATAGAAACGCCCTGATGAAGGTCTTGAGCGAAGCGCATGTACCTCATAGTATATCCCAAGAAAAAGTTGAGAGGATCGTCGGTCACATTATGGCAAGCGATCACCTCACCTTCACAGAGGAAGACCTCCCCCTCGAGGGGTCAAGCCACAACAAGCCCTTGCACATTTCTGTCAAGTGCAAGGAGTACCTCATCGCTAAAGTTCTTGTGGATAACGGGTCATCCTTGAACATGATGTCCAAGAGCACACTCCACAAGTTGACTATTCAAGGAACCCACTTGCGCCCAAGCAGCACTATCGTTCGAGCCTTCGACGGATCCAAGCGAGAAGTAGTGGGAGAAGTCAATTTGCCAATCCAAGTCGAACCCACTATCTTCAACGTCGATTTCCATGTAATGGACATTACTCCGACGTATAGTTGTTTCATCAGCAGGCCTTGGATTCATGACGCTAAGGCAGTACCTTCAACACTCCACCAGAAAGTCAAGTTTATAGTGGATGACAAACTGGTCACAGTCTAAGCAGAAGACGATATCCTGATCAGTGGACCGTCTACCCAACCTTACGTGGATGCGGCTGAAGAGGCCCTTGAAACATCTTTTCAAGCGCTTGAAATTGCTAGTGTAGAGAGACTTCCCAATAATACGAAGGTAGCCCGCAAGATGATGAAACATGGTTACCATCCTGGCCAAGGACTGGGGGAAGATTCCCAAGGGATGAGGGAACCCCCATAATTCAAAGATAACCCCTTAAAGTATGGCCTAGGATATGACCCTACAAAGGGCCGAGCAGAAAGAAGAAAAGGGAAGTCTCCCCTCCGCACACTCAAGCAGATATTTCAAAGCGGAGGGTTGCAAGCGTCAAGAGCTACCCTAGTCATTAGGAGATCTTTTTCTTTGCTCAAGGGATGTAAACCCAGTGATTGTTAGAGATTATCCCCCAGGGCTAGCCCGACCCCCGGGCATTTTTGGGCACATATTCCCTTACTAATTAATAAAGAATACACTTCTTACTATATGCTTCTCTTCTTGCTACTTCATGTCTAGACCTCATAATAACCTTGTCTAAACAAACAAAAGAGAAAGGAAGAATAAAAGCGCGTCCAAATAATCAAAATGTACCATTGCCATAATAATCAAGCTGGTTGATTAGAAGCACAAAATAAGGTTTTACCTCACCATAAATAAAGCCGTGTTTCGCCAATATTGTGTAAAAAAAAAAAACCCATAGAATCCATAGGCCAAAAGAAAAGGGCAAAATACCCGGTAGGAAACCCACTAAGGGGGCTACGCAAAAGATAGGGTCAACTCGTTAGGACACCCGAACAAAAATAAAGGGTAGCCTAGGCAAAAGTTAGGGTTACAAAATAAGGCCCGCTAGGATTCCCTAAACAGAAAAGAAAAGGGAAGGAACCTAGACAAAATATAGGACCAAAACACGATATCCCAGCCCGAAAAC